GGAGGGGTTGAAGGGAGGGCAGGGAAATGGGGAAAAAATAAGAACCAAGAGACATTATGTAAAGGTACAAATTTCCAATGATGAATGTCATTATATTGTATACCTAAAATGTACCAAAAATTAAGTTTTAAAAAAATATAAGGGGTTAACCCAGGCCCATGCTTTAGCTGGTTGTTATGTGATCAAAATTTGATTTTACTCCACCAGAACATGGATCTTCACTTAATGCTAGAGTAGATCTAGAAGTTCTATCTGCATATTCTGGCCAAGGTATAGGCATCTTTGCTTTCTGCCTGGTTGTGAGTCTCACTACAGTGGGCCTAGCAGTGAACTTCAAACCACAGTCTTGTGTCAAAATTTGTGCCTGGTTCACCATAGAGTCATGTCTTCCTTCACTTTCTGTTACCCAGTGCTGAGAGAGGTGATGAAGTTACTCCCTTGGCCACTTGGCTAACACAGTTTCAGGGTCTTAGCTTGTGGTTACTAGCTACAAGCTAGTGGCTAGCATGGTAATAGCTGTGGCAGCTATTACCCTGTGGCAGGCAGCTATTACACTGTGGCAGGCAAGGTAATAGCAAATGTCTAAGCAGGAGATATTCCTCTTCTTAGGCTGCTTTGAGATGAGGAATGGTTGATGCTGGAAACTCTCCTTCCTGCCTTAAATGACTTTTCTTATTATGACAACACAAGTTACTCTTATTTAAATGCATTTTTTTTTTTTTAGGCACAGCACCTTGGCTTCTTTAGCTCTGGTGAAGCAAGTTTGGCATGTGAGTAGTTGTTTAATTTGGTTTGCCTATAGAAATACTCAGCTGCCATCTTGTTCTTCACTTTTCAATTCTGTTCTTGATTAAAATAAGAAACTAAAAACATAAATATGGACCAAAAAGTATAATAGAAAATGTGAAATAATTCAATAGGAAGGGGGAACTAGAGAGGAGGGAGGGGGAAAGGAAGGAAGGAAAAAGAAAAAATGAGAAAAGAAGGGAAAAATGGAAATGGGGCTTTTCTAAATAAGGAAGAAGAAGAGGGGTTGAAGGAAGGGGAGGAGAATGGGAAAAAAAGGAAATACGATATCATCATGTAAAGGTACAAATTCCCTATGATGAATGTGATCATTATGTAAATCTAAATTGTACCAATACAATTTAAAAATAAAATAAAACGTTTGAATCGAGACCCTGAATGAACAATTGCAAGATAGCACAAACCTCTCTGTTTCAAGGCATTATAAAAATTTTTTTCATTAAGTTTATTGGAACATTTTAGGTATACAATACAGTTACATTCATCATTGAGATCTTGTGCCTTTACATGATG